GGGGGGGATTAAGTCAATGTGCTATGCTGGGGATTGAACCAGGATCAGCTGTGTGCAATGCAAGGGTCTTCCCTACTGTACTATTGCTTCGACCCCAAAAGTGTTTTTAAAAAAATTATTATTTTGGGGGCTGGAATGATAGCACAGCAGGTGGGGCGTTTGCCTTGTGTGCAGCCGACCCAGATTCAATTCCCAGCGTCCCATATGGTCCCCTGAGCACCACCAGGAGTAATTCCTGTGTGCATGAGCCAGGAGTAACCCCTGTGCATCGCCAGGTGTGACCCAAAAAGAAAAAATATATATTATTTTCATTTAGGCACGAAGGTTGACAAAAGTGTTATTGGTAGAGTTTCATACATAAACATTCCAGCACTATGCCCTTCTTTTTTTCTCTCTCTCTCTCCTTTCCAATCCATGAATGGGGAATCTGTTAATATTCACCATATCATCTTTTATTTCTTTTGGTTGTGTTATATATAGTTTTCTCTGTATGAGTCTTTCACCTCTTTTGTTAAGCTGATACAAAGCAAGGGTGTTAACCTCTCTACTATTTCTCCAGCCCTTCCTTCCGATTTTAAAAGATATTAAAAGTCAATTGTTTTTTGTAAGCGTCTAAAAGAATCTTGGGCTGCAGGCCCTGGGTCTGATTGATCTCATTCATTCTATTTATGGTGAGTGCTACCGATTTTCCATTGCAGAGGGGATGTCAATTTCCCTTTACACAAGTGTATTCAAGAGTCAACAAAATAGTCCATTTGTACATTGATACCACAAACACCAGCAGTATAGTAATCATGTTACCTAAACTACAATTAAAAGTAAAGAGAGGGGAGGGAGTCTCCCAGGATTGTCTAGAGAGAACCAAAGAAGAATAATCTCTTTAATTTAAATTTATTTATTTTTTAATTGAATCACAGTGAGACACACAGATACAAAATTGTTCATAACTGGGTTTCAGTCACACAATGTCCCAACACCAGTCTCTTCACCAGTGTACGTTTCCCACCACCAATGTCCCCAATTGCCCTCCTGGTCACATCCCCAGCCTCTGTGGCAGGCACTTCTCTCTCTCTCTCTCTCTCTCTCTCTCTCTCTCTCTCTCTCTCTCTGTGTCTCTCTATCTGTCTCTCTCCCTCTCTCTCTCTGTCCCTACCTATCTCTGTCTCTCGCTCTCTCTTCCTCCCTCCCTCTCTCCTCTCTCTCTCTCTCTGTCTCTCCCTCCCTCCCTCCTCTCCTCTCTCCCTCTCTCTGTCTCTGTCTCTCTGTCTCTCGCTCTCTCTTCCTCCCTCCCTTTTTCCTCTCTCTCCTCTCTCTTTCTCTCTCTCTCTTAGAATAAGGTAAAAAATATTTCATATTTCAGTATAGGCCAGAACATGGCTCAAAAGACTGGGTACTGGAGAGATAGTATAGTGGGCAGACCACACTTGCACCCAACCCAGATTCAATCCTCTGTCACCCCATATGATCCCAGTGCACCCCCAGGAGTGATTCCTGAATGCAGAACCCAGACTAAGCCCTGAACTTCGCTGGGTATAGCCCAAAACCTAAACAAACAAACAAAAGTTAGAGTATCAGCTTTGCATGTGGGGTCCCCAGCACCACATGGACCCCCGTGCCCCAGTAGGAATGGCCCCCAAGCATTGCCAAGTGTGACTTCCAAAATACTCTTTTCACCTTGCATGTGGCCGACCCCGGTTCCATTCCCAGACCCCCACCAGGATGATCCCTGAGCACAGCCCGGTGTGGCCCAAACAAAACTGTCCAGAGATTACAAATAGGACTGTCTGGGTGCCTTCCCATCAAGCCCCTGCATCCCACCTCCCGAGGTGACTGGTTCTGCCTCTGTCTTTTTATTCAGTCAGAACTTCCTCAAGGCCTGACCTCTCCAGCCTGTGCTTCCGGCCACAGCCCAGAAGCCCTGGCCGGCAGCTCTCTCCCCTGCCAAGTATTTGCTTGTTCCTCCCTGCGGCCACCCCCATCCGCCCTCCAGAACCCAGCCCTGAACTTCCAGACTGTGGCGGATTCCAGCTCCCCTGCTAGACCCCTAGGCTTTCTCCCCAGCTGCCTCTCCATCCCCTCTGCTATGCTAAATGGAAAAATAAACAACCCCCAGCCCCCTCCTTGGTGAGGGGGTAGCCTGAGCCTTTTCTTCCCATCTCCTGATGGACGGATGTGTCCTCAGATCAGCTGTGGTTACCTGGGAGACCCTGGGCCTTTGAAGGGACCCCCTAGTCTGAACGCTAATTGATGCTTCTTCCCAGCTTTGGTTGCTTGATTAGGCCCTTAACAAGGTGCTGCAGTCTAGACTTAAAGGGGTGCTTTGCTCTATGGTTGACTTTGCTTGCTATATGGTATGTTTCTAAGGAAAGAAACAAGTCCCCAAGCTTCCAGCCACTCCTGCAGAGGGCAGTTAGGGCGGAAAAGGGACCTTTATGACAATAACAGTCGGGAATGATCGCTCTGGACAAGAAATGAGTGTGGGAAGGAGGTAAAGGGACAAACATGATAACTTTTATTGCAAACCATAATGCCCAAAAGGGGGAGGGGGGGAAAGAGAGAGAGAGAGAGAGAGAGAGAGAGAGAGAGAGAGAGAGAGAGGAAATAGCAGGTGAAAAACTGGTGACATTGGTGGTAGGAGATGTACACTGGTGAAGGGACGGAAACATTCTATGACTGAAACTCAACCATGAACGACTCTGTAACTGTATATCTCACTGTGATTCAATTAAAAAAATAAATTTAAAAAATTAACATAAATGGAGCTGGAGTGATAGCACAGTGTTTGCCTTGCATGCGGCCGACCCAGGTTCTATTCCCAGCATCCCATATGGTCCCCTGAGCACCGCCAGGAGTAATTCCTGAGTGCAGAGCCAGGAGTAACCCTTGTGCATGACCAGGTATAACCCAAAAAGCAAAAAAAAAAAAAAAAATTAACATAAATAAAAAGAAAGAAATCCCCTTAGAAAGGAACCTGTAGAGATTTGAGGGCTGAGTGAGGGCTGGGTGGGGAGTAGATTCCAGTCCCTGCCACTGGGTCTGTTCCAAAAATCTTTTTTCACTGTATCACTGTCACTGTCATCCTGTTGTTTATCGATTGCCTCGAGCAGGCCCCAGTAATGTCTCCATGCTAGCCCTGAGATTTTAAAAAGTGCCACATTCAAGGCTCTTTCAGGGTCAGGAGAATAAGACCCATCATTGTTAGTGGTTTTTGGCATATTGAACACACCATGGGGAGTTTGCCAGATTCTGCCGTGTGGGCAGGTTACATTCGGTAGCCTGCCAGGTTCTCCAGAGTAAGAACCAGATAATAAGATGTCGCTTTCAGGAGCAGGGTTTTATAGTCTCTGGGTCTTGGCCGTTGATGGGATTACAAGGTGCGGGGGGTGGGGGGGCAGTTGGTGGGCGTAACGCCTACATACTGGAAGATGGGGGATCTGGGTGGAGGAGGCCCCAGGCCCAATCCGAGCAGGCTTGGAGATCTTCGCCTTGGGTCCTGCACACCTGGGTTCCTCTGCCGGTTCCTTCATGCGTGAAGCTTGTCCAAACGTGTAGAAAGTGGTCTTAAGCATGGCTGTGGCTGGAACCGGAGGTTTTCAGCTGCCGGGGCTCTGCTCAGGGTGGGGAGGGAAACTCAACCCACCCTCCTCCAAGGGGCCCCGGTGAGGACAGCCAGGCGCAGTGGCAGGAGACTGCGCTGTTCTCTTCTGGGAGCAGGGTTTTTTGTTTTTTTTTTTTCACTCTTTTTTTACTCTGAGAAAACAAAAACCAAAGAACCAAAGAAAAGATCATCTCAGAACTTGGGGTCGGAGCCTTAGTACAGCAGGTAGGGCAGTAGCTTTGCATGCGGCCAACCTGGGTTCAATTCCCAGCATCCCATACGGTCCCCTGAGCACCGCCAGGTATATATTCCTGAGTGCAGAGTCAGGAGCAAGCTCTGAGCACCTGAAGGTGGCTCCAAATAAATTTTTTAAAAATCTCAGAATCAGGTCGGAGTGATAGTACAGCAGGTAGGGCATTTGCCTTGCACGCTATTGACCCAGGTTCGATCCCCGGCATCCCATAGGGTCCCCCAAGCACCACCAGGAGTCATTCCTGAGCGCAGAGCCAGGAGTAACCCCCGAGCATTTCTGGGTGTGACCCAAAAAGCAAAAAAAAAAAAATCTCAGAATGGAGAGATAGTATAGGGGTTAAGGCACTTGCCTTGCAATGAAGCTGACTCCAGGTTAACCCTTGGCACCATGTATGGTCCCCCTGGGCACCACCAGGAGTGATCCCTGAGCACAGAGCCAGGAGTAAATGGCAGAGGGTGCTTGTCCTTGGTCAGCTTTGCTACACAGTGTGTTTCTGAGGAAGGAAATAAGTCCCCAAGCTTCCAACCCAGGGCCAGAGGCCAGCAGTGAGCAAAGACTAAACTCCTAACCTTCTGCAGACTGATTCTCGGAAGGGCTGGACTAGGGAGAAATTCTGCAACACTGACTGGACAACCTCAGGTCACTGACCCTGCAGACGGGAACTGTGTTTCAGTTTCAGTTAAGGCTTGTCCTGCAGAGGCAGGTCTCAACCCTGGCCGTTCAGGAGGTGGGTCCTGGGGAAACCCTCCCCTAGGACCTTACCTGCACTCGGATTTTGATTTTTGTTGTTGTTGTTGTTGCTGTTTTGGTTTGGAGACCACACCCAGGGGTCCTCAGGTGCTTATTCCTGGTTCTCTGCTCAGGGATCACTCCTGACGGTGCCCCCGGAAGGAAGCTCAGTGGTTAGGCTTTGAGAACTACCCCTCATCTCCCCAACCCCACCCCCAACTTCTCAGCACCCGGATTCCCAAAGGAGTTCTGGACTCCACACTCCATCTGGACCTCGAGGCAGGACCCAGCGGTCAGGCCCAGCTTCATTTACTGGAAATCACAGCGGCAATCAATCATCCTTAATTTGTAACTGGGAGTATCAGGGCCAGCCAATGACTGCGACTCAGCCCCCACTACCCAGCACACCCCACCCTCCGGGCCTGGCCAGTCAGTTTGAGCCAGCTGACCAGGAGTTTGGAGCAGGTTTGGTGCTGGGGTGGGGACCTCCCGGGGGATGAGATGTTCAAGAGGGTTGGGGGGGTCTCTGTTCCCCATTTCCAGCGCCTCTTGACACTCCGCTGTCTTCATCCACTGGTTTCCACTTAAGACTCGGGACTGTCCCTGCTCCCCCGCCACTCCGGCAATCCCACCCCCGGCCGGCTGTAGACGCCCCTCCACTCCTCTCCGCTGCTGCCGGTGGCCCCCAGTTATTTGGCGGCGGCAGGACCCCCCTTTGACCGGAGCAGATGGACAGAGACTCTGAGCAGGGGCGGGGCGGAGGGGGCAGGGCCAGGCTGTGCCGGGAAAGGAAGCGGTTTGGGGAAAACAGAACAGAGGGACAGAGCGACAGGTCAGGGAGCTGGTAGGGGGGGCTGGGGGGGGAGGGCGGGGGAGTGAGTTCTCCGAAGCGCCGGGTGCAGACCCGGAATGGAATGGGGGCGGGCCCTGGGTGGGGAGGAATCCCCCAGGGCGGCGAGCGGGGAGCGAACTCCGACGCGCTCTCCTCTCGGCAGGTCCGGGCTGACGTCGCCGCCCAGATGGCCTCCAGGCTGCTGACCCCGCTGACCCTCCTGCTGCTGCCGCTGTCGCTGCTGCTGCTGGCCCGGGTGAGTGGCCCCCTCGTGGCGAGGGAAGGGGGGGGTGGGGTGGGCTGAGCTTTAACCCTTCCCGGTCCGGGAGAACTAGGAGAGTTCCTTGCGCTTGGCATGGGCTGGTAGGTCCCCTCTGGAGAGCTTGTGAGCGCTGCGAGCCCCCGACGGTCACGGGTTCCAATCCCAACCACCTGTCCAGATTTGCAAAGGGAAGGAACCCAGAGGGCAAGGAGAGTGAGTGGGCAAGCGTTTGGGGAAACCAAAGCAGGTGTTTCTGGGCTGGAGAGCTAGTACAGCGTGATGGGACGTTTGCCTTGCACGCGGTCGACCAGGGTTCGATTCTCGGCATCCCATATGGTCCCCCAAGCACCGCCAGGAATAATTTCTGAGTGCAGAACCCAGGAGTAACCCCTGAGCATCGCTGGGTATAGCCTCCCCCCCAAAAAAATTTTTTTTAAATTAAAAGCAGGGGGGCTGGGATGATAGCACAGCGGGTAGGGTGTTTGCCTTGCACGCGGCTGATCCGGGTTCGATTCCCAGCATCCCATATGGTCCCCTGAGCACCGCCAGGAGTAATTCCTGAGTGCAGAGCCGGGAGAAACCCCTGTGCATTGCCGGGTGTGACCCAAAAGCCAATAAAATAAAATAAAAGTAGGTCTTCCTATACCTGAAGTAGATGCAGGTATACAAACACACACACGCACACATGCACACACAGACACATGAGAGCACACACACGCATGTATACACACATACACGCACATGCACACACATGTGAGGATGTACACACACACACTTGCACACACACACACGCCCTCTCCAGGTTGGGGAGCGGGCACTGAGACTGGGCTAGGCCCTCACACTACCCAGGATTTTTCCCTAGGAGAGGAATTCCCATCACCTGGTGCATGGGAGGTCAGGGCGAACCTGGGGAAAGGATCATTTGTCCTGCCTGTGGGGTGTGTGGATTGGCACAGGCAGTGTCCCTTAATAGCCCAAGGATGAGGTGCTGGGGCACTTGCTCTGGACTGCGGCCTCAGGCCTTGGTTGTCTTCTGGCTTCTCTGAAACCCTAGACCAGGTTCCTAATATGTCTCAGCCCCAGCTTCTGTTTTCAGAGAAATGGGCTAATGCATGATTTCTCAGTGGGAGAACCAGTGGGGCCTAGATGGTTCACTGTGAGGTGGGGCAGCGTCCTTGGCTTTGATCCACTAGGTCCCAGTAGATCCCCATTGCCTTTCTCCCTGTGGCAACCGAAAGCTCCCCCAGATATTGCCAGATATCCCGAAGGGGTCAACAGTGATCCCTGATTGAGAGCTTTTCTTTCTCCTCCATCCTTTCCTTCCTTCCTCTCCCCTCTCTCCCTCCATCCCCTCCCTCATCTCCTCCCTCCCTCTCTTCCTCAGACAGTTGTTTGCCCCCACCCCAAACAATTTCCAAATATTGATCATTTTCTGTACCCACTAATGGGTATAGGAATTGCTGTCCCAAAATTTGGGGGGGAAAAAATAAGCACTGTTCTAAGGCAAAGATTACAACTTGCCTTTCTAGGCCCGCCCAGTAGGTCCTGGCCTGCAGGGACTTAAAAGAAATTGCCAGGCTGGAGTGATAATACAGTGGGCAGTGCGCTTGCCTTGCATGCAGCTGACCCGGGTTGTACTACTGGCATCCCACCTACTTCCCCATATGGGATGTAAACAGAACCAGGAGTAAACCCTGAACACTGCCAGGTGTGCTCCCCCCCCCAAAAAAAAATGCAAGGACAGAGATAAGTGACAATCGACTCTACACATTACAGGACATTTTACACACACACACACACACACACACACACTCACACACACACTCACACACACTCCCTGCTCCTCCCCAGCTTTCTCTTCCTGTTTTGTGAGAGGACTGGGGCCTCAAAGTAACAAAAGTGAAAGTGTTACTTGCTTCCCAGGACACAGCAGCATCAAATCCATATGCAACTAGCCCCAGCTTGGTGGCCCCAGACAACGGGCCAGGAGAAAATGAAGGGAGCATCAGGCCCGCCGAGGACCCCGAGAAAGTCTACATCGAATACAACTATGAGGAGGACCCTTCCATCCTGCAAAGCCTGGAGGAGCTGAATACCACTCACTGGCCCGAAGTAATAGCCAGTAGCACCGCTGAGCCCACTTCCCAGTCTAACGGGACTCAAGCTGCGGAACCAGAGACCCAGCCCACCGCTGAGCCCTCCACCCAGCCCACTGCCCCTCCAGAGCCCATCTGCCCGGGACCTGTCCTCGCCTGCTCCCCTCTAGAGAGTCATTCCGCTGAAGCCGTGCTGGGGGACTCCTTGATGGATTTCTCCGTTGGACTCTACCACGCCTTCTCGGCAGAGAGGCAGCCCGAGACCAACATGGCCTTTTCCCCTTTCAGCATCGCCAGCCTCCTCACTCAGGTCCTGCTTGGTGAGTGTTCCCTACCTGGTGGCAGAACTGAGCTCACCATACATGAGCCGACTTCAAGCCTGGCGCTGACACAACTATGAGTAAGGGAGAAAGCTAAAAAAAAAAAAAAAAGGGGGGGGGGTGTTCCCAGGGGCCCTTCTTGCCTTGCACGCATCCAATCTTGGTTTGATAACCCACACCCCCATCTGGTCCTCCAAGCTCAACCAGGAGTCATCCCTGAGCACAGAGCCAGGAGTAATCCCTGAGCACCGCTGGTGTAGCCCACGAATAGCAACAACAAAATAAAATGAAAATTGGGCTCCATGTTTCATGAGATGGGGAGGAAAGGATATTTCTTTTCCTTTTTTTTTTTTTTTTTGGTTTTCAGGTCACCCAGCAATGCTCAGGGGTTACTCCTGGGTCTACACTCAGGAATTAATCCTGGTGGTGCTCGGGGGACCATATGGGATGGGGATGCCGGTGATTGAACCCAGGTTGACCGCATGCAAGGCAAACGGCCTACCTGCTATGCTATCACTCCAGCCCCAGATCTTTTCCTTCTTGAACCTTCGTGTATTCATTCCTTCACTGAACTCTGACTAACTAGGCACTACGGTGAGGCTGGATAGTACAGCGGGGAGGGCATTTGCTTTGCATGCAGCAGACCCAGGTTCAATCCCCAGCATCCTATATGGTCCCCTGAGCATCGCCAGGAGTAATTCCTGAGATCAAAACCATAGGTAACCCTGCGCATCGCCCCCAAGAACCAAAACCAACCAAGCAAACAAAAAGATACTGCCACTCATAAACCTTTCTGTGGACTGTTTAAGAACAGAGACTATAAGGTCTCACCTGCCTAGTTAAAAGAAGATGAAACCGCGAACAGGACAGAGAGTGGGGTTCTGATTGTTCTGCTTTCTAGCTGTGTGACCTTCATCAGGTCATGGAACCTCTCCAACCTGGGCCCAGATATGGGAAATGATGCTGGAATCTACTTTATTTATTTATTTATTTATTTTGCTTTTTGGGTCACACCCAGTGATGCACAGGGGTTACTCCTGGCTCTGCACTCAGGAGTTACTCCTGGCGAGGCTCAGGGGACCCTATGGGATGCTGGGAATCGAACGCGTGCAAGGCAAATGCCCTACCCGCTGTGCTATTGCTCCAGCCCCTGGAATCTTCTTTAGAAGATTAGGGTAGGGACTGGAGAGATAGCACAGCGGGTAGGGCATTTGCCTTGCATGCGACCGACCCGGGTTCGATTCCCAGCATCCCATAGGGTCCCCTGAGCCTCGCCAGGAGTAACTCCTGAGTGCAGAGCCAGGAGTAACCCCTGTGCATCGCCGGGTGTGACCCAAAAAGCAAAAATAAAGTTAACTTTCAAAAAAAAAAGATTAGGGTTGGAGACATAGTACAGGGGGTAAGGCATTTGCCTTGTATGTGGCTGACTCAGGTTCGATCCCTGGCATCCCATATAGTCTCCCAAGCTCGCCTTGAGTGAACCCTGAGCACAAAGCCAGGAGTAAGCCCTGAGCACTGCTATCCCAAGCTGTGCCATTCCCTCAAGATAATCAGATAGCCTAGTGTTTGACAGACAGGGATTTATCTGAGTGTGTTGTGGGGGGGGGGGGGGGTTGGGAGGATAAATGAGTAGGGGATGATTGTGGCCACATCCTGCTGTGTCAGGAGCAATCGTGTGTGGAACCCTGTACAATCCCTTTGGCCCAACCAGTGTGGCCACTGAAAGGGCGTTAATCTCTCTGTCTTCCCAAGGCATCAAAGAACTTGGTTTTCTTTTCTCTTTTCACTACTTTTTTGCCACTGATAGTCAGTGACTGCTCACAGTTCTAGACTTGGGGTATGGGGGTGTCATGTGGTACTAAGGGATGAAACCCAGACATTTTACACACGAACCATGAGCTGCAGCCCTTTGAGCTATCTCTGCACTCCAGGATCACTCTTGGCTGGTACTTTGGGGGACCATTTGCAGTTCCCTAGACTGAGCTGGGGTCAGCTGTGTGCAAGACAAGCCCCTTCCCCACTGTTCTGTCTCTCTGACCCAATGCTGTGATCTTAAACTGATTCCATTCCTTCATCGCGAAAGCCTCAGTTTCCTCATCTATATAATGGGAATAGTAATGATGTCTGTGTAGAAAGGGGTTACTGTAAAGATTCAATGAGAGACTATGGGTAATACCCATATTGAATCTTTATAAGGCCAGGAACTCAGTGAGTGCTCCATAAAGCTTAATTTACTGCACAGCAAATGGTGCAATGAATACTTAATAATGAATAACAGGATATTGAACGTCCATCTTCTCTTATGATTCTCAGATTTCTCTTCTTAATAGAGAGCTGGAACCATGTAGAGAGCTCCAATGTTTGCTGGGGCTCATGTACTACATGCAGGAGCCTGGGTTCTATCCTCGACATCACATGGTCCCCCAAGTCCCTCCAGGAAGTAATCCTGAGCACCAAACTGGAAGTATTCCCCAAGTATCACCAGGTGTGGCCCCCCAAAAACAGAACAAAATAAATATAGTTAGGGTTGGAGCAATAGCACAACAGGTAGGGTGTTTGCCTTGTATGCAGCCAACCTGGGTTCTATTCCTGGTATCCCGTATGGTCCTCCAAGTTCAGCTGGAGTGATCCCAGACTTCAGAGCCAGGAGTAAGCCCTGAACACTGCTTGGGAGGCCCATTCCCTCAAAATAACCAGATAGTCTAGTGCTTAATAGACTGAAATTATTTGGTGGGGTGGGGTGGGGAAGGGAATTGGGAAGGGGATGATTGGAGTCACATCCTTCAGTGCTCAGAGCTTAATCCTGGCAGTGTGGGTGCAGGAGAGGGGGAAGTATGTGCAGGACCCCTGTACTATCCCTCTGGTTCCAGAATGGGCATTTCAAAGGTGCTAACCCTCTGTCTTCCTGAGGCATCATGGTGTCTCTGCCTATGGGGTGGACCTTTGTAACCCTAAACCAATCCAATAATAGTTCAGGTGAAATGGGCTTCCTATGATGAACGGGATTTAAATTAGGAAGATAGGGGCCAGAGTGATAGTCTAGCAGAGAGGCCATTTGTCTTGCACATGGCCGATCCAGGTTTGATCCCCAACATCCCATATGGTCCCTCTGTACACAATCAGGAGTGATTCCTAAGTGCAGAACCAGAAGTTACTGCTGAGCATCCCTGGGTGTGACCCCAAAAGCAAAAACAACAAACAAACAAAAAAAAAAAACTGGCTAGAGCGATAACAGTGGATAGGGCATTTGCCTTGCTCTTGGCCGTCCCCGGTTCGATTCCCAGCATCCCATAGGGTCCCCCACCCACTTCCAGGAGTAATTCCTAGTGCAGAGCCAGAAGTAACCCCTGTGCATTGTTGGGTGTGACCCAAAAAGAAAAGGAAAAAAAAACAAAACAATTGAATTATGAAGATAATGTGGTAGAGAATGAAGAAAAGAGCACAGAGAGCACATAGCTGAATGATTCTTCAAGATCCTTCCCCCTTTCTGTTTTGTTTGTTAACTTTTGTCTTGAGGTCTCACGGGGCAGTGCTCAAGGGTTCCTCCTGGCTCTGCACTCATGAATCACCCCGGAAAGGCTTGAGATGGAATGCCAGAGATTGAACTAGAGCCAGCCTGGTGTGGCAAGCAAGCACCCTGCCCACTGTACTATCTCTCCGGCCCCAATCCTCTTCCCCCATCTTTTTTTTTTTTTTTTTTTTTTTTGCTTTTCGGGTCACACCTGGTGATGTGCAGGGGTTACTCCTGGCTCTGCACTCAGGAATTACTCCTGGCTGTGCTCAGGGGACCATATGGGTCGGCTGCGTGCAAGGCAAACAAACCCCCTACCCTCTGTGCTATCTCTCCAGCCCCGCCCCCACCTTTTTTTATCCCCCATTGGTCTTGTATATTGTCTCCAACTCTGATGGAGACTCCTCAGAGTATATTGTCTCCAATTGTGATGGGGACTCCTCCCAAACTATCAACCAGCACTCATCCCAGCCCAGTCCCTCCACCTGGCTTCCAGAACCTGAACTCACCACTTGTTTTATTTTGGGGTCACACCCAGTGATACTCAGGGCTTACTCCTGGCTCTGTGCTCAGGGATTACACCTGGCCGGGCTCAGGGGGACCATAGGGGATGCTGGGGATCAAACACAGATCAGCCGTGTACAAGCCCTGCCCACTATACTACTCCAGTCCCCTGGACTCATCACTTCCGCTGTTTCCTCTCCCCCTGCCTTTTGCCGTAGGGGCTGGGAATGTCACCAAGAAAAACCTCGAGCGTGTCCTCTCCTACCCTGAGAACTTTACCTGTGTCCACCAGGCCCTGCAGGCCTTCACCTCCAAAGGCTTCACCTCTGTCTCCCAGATTTTCCACAGCCCAGGTGAGTTTTGGGGGATCTGGGGCCTGCTGAGGCAGGACGGGCCTGAGAGGGTGCAGAGAGGGGTCCAGCCGTGGGGAGAGGGGAAAGGTGAGGATTAGAACATTGAGAATATTGAGGGTGAGTGCCAGTTGACTGGAGAATTCTCCTGGTTGAGAGCCTGGGCAGTGAACTTCTACGCTGGGTAAAAGTGTCCTTCCATGGGGCTGGAGCAATAGCACAGAGGGGAAGGAGTTTGCCTTGCACGCTGCCGATCCTGGTTCGATTCCCAGCATCCCATAGGGTCCCCTGAGCACTGCCAGGAGTAATTCCTAAGTGCAGAGCTAGGAGTAACCCCTGAGCATCACTGGGTGTGACCCAAAAAGCAAAAAATAAATAAATAAAAAGTGTCCTTCTGCATCTATGCGTGGGACTGGAGGCCTCGAGCAGTCTAGACTAAATAAGCAGTAAGAAGCCTTTGACCAATCCAGTCAGAGAGTCTTGAAACTCCTAGTCCGTGTACTTTTGTGTTCTATGGATTTGTTGTCATTGGCTTGTAGTACATTATTAAATAGGTAACAAGAGCAAGACACTTCCAGAGGGATCTCAGGCTGTTGTTTTACAGACTGTGTTCCCCAGAGCCATCAATTTCTGCAGATGTGCTTTAGAAGTTGTGGTTAGAGGGGCGTCGGTACCCAGGAGGCAGTTGGGACAGCTTGAGTACCACTTTCTGGGGGATAAAGAGGCTCTGAGGACCCAAGCAGCCTCCAACAGAGGGCTTCACCGATGATTTTATTTGCAATTACGGTTCTGCTGCTTAAAAAGGTTTGAAAATAGGGGCTCGAGCGATAGTTCAGCGGGTAGGGCATTTGCCTTGCATGAGGCCAACCATGGTTTAATTCCCAGCATCTCGTATGGTCCCCCAAGCACTGCCAGGAGTTAATTCTTAAGTGCATGAGCCAGGAGTAACCCCTGTGCATCGCTCGGTGTGACCCAAAAAGCAAAAAAAAAAAAAAAAAAGGTTTGAAAATATACCCAGGGATCACTCTGGGTGTGGTTGGGGGACCATATGAGGTGCCTGGTATTGAACTTGAGTCGGCCACTGCAAGACAAGTGTCCTGTCCACTGTATACTTTCTCTGGCCCCTAACCCCCACTCTTTAAGTAAAAGGGAAAAGATGTCTTTTTCCTGTACCATTAAAGCAATCCTTGGGGGGCCATAAAGATAGTTCAGTGAACAGGGTGCTTGTCTTGCATATGCCAACTCCAAATGGTCCTCAGAGCACTGCCAGGAGTGGTCTGTGAGCACAGTGCCAGGAGTAAGCCCTGAGCACCCCGGGACATTTCCCAAAAAAATCAGGGGGGGAGGAGTTGAAACAATGTTTATTTAGTAAAAAACTGAGAAAATACAGGAAAGGAAAAGTGAAAAATAAGAAAAAATGAAAACTGAACATTGTTATCTAAACAGCGACCTTCTTTTTAGAGATGGAAAAGATACAACTCAGAAGTGTTCAAAAAACACTGAGTTAATTTCTCTGCTCTAAATCAATTCAGTTCCCTGGTGGAAAAAAAAAATAACTGTGACCCATGTTATCTGTTTAGTCCCTGGGAAATTGCTCTTTCAAACACCTTTCTTTTTGTTTTTGGGCCACACCTGGTGATGCTCAGGGCATACTCCTGGCTCTGTATTCAGAAACCACTTCTGGGGGCTGGAGCAATAGCACAGCAGTAGGGCATTTGCCTTGCACACAGCCAACCCAAATTCGATTCCCAGCATCCCATATGGTCCCCTGAGCACCGCCAGGAGTAATTCCTGAGTGCAGAGCCAGGAGTAACCCCTATACATTGCTGGGTGTGACCCAAAAAGCAAACAAAAAAAAAAAGAAAAAAGAAGAAGAAAGCAAGCACTCCTGGTGGTACATAGGGAACCATGTGCTGGAATGTGGGGGATCGAACCCAGGCTAGTGGCATGCAAGGCAAGTGCCTCCTGTACTATCCAGCTGTCAAATACCTTTCGTTATTATTATTATTGTTATACTTTATTATTATTACTATTATTATTTTGGTGGGTTGGAGTGATAGCACAGTGGGTAGGGCATTTGCCTTTCATGCAGCCAACCCAAGTTCGATTCCTCCGCCTCTCTCAGAGAACCTGGCAAGCTACCGAGTGTATCTCGCCAAAGCGGCAAAGCCTGGCAAGCTACCCATGACGTATTCCAGATGCCAAACACAGTAACAAATGTCACAATGGAGACGTTACTGGGCCCGCTCGAGCAAATCGATGAACAATGGGAGAACAGTGAAAGTGATTATTTTGGCTTTTGGGGTCACAGCCAGCAATGCTCAGGATTTACTCCTGGCCATGCTCCAGGGACCATCTGTGATGCCTGGGATCTCAGCCGCCTGCAAGGCAAATGTCTTCGCCACTGTATTACCACTCAGCCCTCCTCAAACACCTTTCATTAGTGGACATGGGTTTTGGCGAGAGCCGAGCCAGATGTCCACAGAAAGTCACAGATATCCACTGGGCCAGTCTGTCCCCTGCTGAATTAGAGGCGAAGGAGGTGGAACACAGAGGGGTTGAAAACTCAGGTCTGACCGAGTCAGCTGCAAACTCCGTCACGTGGTTGAGTAGTGCCCGCAGGAGCTTGGAGAGCCCGGCTCTGTGGCGTTGGGTCTCTGTGGCTTGCTCGAACTGACCAGACTGTGCCCGTTCCATGTAAACAGAAAGAGCCAGGGGCTGGAGCGATAGCTCAGCGGGTACGGCATTTGCCTTGCATGCGGCCAACCCGGGTTCAATTCCCAGCATCCCATATGGTCCCTTGAGCACCGCCTGGAGTAATTCCAGAGTGCAGAGCCAGGAGTAACTCCTGTGCAACACCGGGTGTGACCCGTTGTTGTCGATTTGCTCCAGCGGGCCCAGTAACGTCTCCATTTTTTTGAGACTTGTTGTTACTGTGTTTGGCATATATTGAAAACATCGCAGGTAGCTTGCCAGGCTTTGCCGCGTGCGGGCAAGATGCTCTCGGTAGCTTGCCAGGCTGTCCGAGAGGGGCAGAGGAATCAAACCCGGCTAGACTGGGCTGGCTGCGCACAAGGCAAATGCCCTACTAGTATGCTAACACTCCAGCTCCCCAAAAAGCCAAAAACAAAAGAGAGAGAGAGAGAGAGAGAGAGAGAGAGAAAGAGCCCACTCCCTGACCTCAAGCCTGCCCTTGGGAAGGGAGGCAGGATGCAGGGGACTCAGGCTACCTTTTCCCCATCCCCCACCTCAGACCTGCCCATAAAGGACAGCTTTGTCAACGCCTCTGAGAACCTGTATGGCACCAGCCCCTCAGTGCTGGGCAATGACAGTGATGCCAACTTGGAACTGGTCAACGGCTGGGTGGCGAAGAACACCAACCACGAGATCAACCAGCTGCTCGACAGCCTGCCGGCTGACATCCGCCTCATCCTCATCAATGCTGTCTACCTGAGTGGTAAGGCGGCGGGGGGGGGGAGGGGGGCGGGGGGGGACACACGTTCTGGAGCAGGGAGGGCTCCCCGTCCCGAGTTCCGTCCGGCCCTCGCCTAGCTCCAAAACCCAAGCAATGCCAGATTGCACAACCAGATTCCACCTCCCCGACATTAGAGCCATCCTCCTCCTTGCTCGCCCTTCTAGCCAAGTGGAAGACCGCCTTTACCAAGAAAAACACCAAACTGCAGTCCTTCCACTCCAGATCGTCTGTGATCAAAGTGCCCATGATGGTCCACAAGAAGTACCCCGTGGCACAGTTCACCGACCGCACGCTGAAGGCCAGGGTGAGTGCTCAGGATGCTGATGGGGGCCAGAGCGATAGTGCAGCGGGTAGAGCGTTTTGCCTTGCACACAGCCAACCCGGGTTCGATCCCCAGCATCCCAGGTGGTCCCCCCAGCACCGCCAGGAGTAATTCCTGAGTGCAGAGCCAGGCGTGACCCCTGAGCATCGCTGGGTGTGACCCAAAAAGGAAAAAAAGAAAAAAGAAAAAGAGCTGGTGTCCTGACTTCTGTCCTGGTCTTCTCCTTACTAACATCTCCTCGGCTTCCTCCTCACTGTATTTGCACCCTGTCTTCTCTCTTCCTCTCCCTCTCCAGCTGTGGAGGCCTTGTATATGGTAGGCTGGAAAGCAGGATTCTAACGTTTCTGCATTTCTCACCGCTGCATCGATTTGGCAAAAAAAAAAAAAAAAAAGAAGTGAGTTGTGTCTCTCTTCTGTGCATGCTTCTCTTTCTGGTTAATTCTGGGTTACCCTGATGGCTTGGTGAGTTCTCTGGGAAAAGGGGAAAGAAAGAGAGAGAGGGAGAGAGAGAGAGAGAGAGAGAGAGAGAGAGAGAGAGAGAGAGAGAAGAGAGAATGTGTGTATGTCTGTGTGTATGTGTGTGTCTGTGCGTGTACAGCATGCATAAGTATGGTACAGTACCTTGTGTATAGGTGTATTAATGTGTACATATATGTTATTTTGTGTGTACACAAATTCTTTAGCAGAAATTGATTTAGGGGCCAGAACAATAGTACAGCAGGTAAGGAGTTTGCCTTGCATGCAGACAATTCAGGTTTAATCCTGGGCACCCAACATTGCCCCCTGCCAGGAGTGATCCCTGAGCGTAGAGCCAGGAGTAGCCCCTGAGCATCAGTGTGACCCAAAACCACCCTCGCCACCCCCTCTCCCCCCAAAAAAAGAGAAAGAAAAGAACTTTGATTTCGCAGAATGTCATTTCAGTGGGAAGGGAGCAAGAGTGAAACAGAATATGAAGCTCAGGGAATTCTAGTTAGTAAACTCTCATGGCCAGATATTTTAAACCAGTGGGAGAGATTCGCTCAATGCAGCCCTGAAGGACCCCCAACACCACCAGGGGTAGTCTTAGAGGCCACGAGCACTCCCAGCGGGGTCCAGGTAAGCCCTGGAACCCCAGGGATTGAGCCTTACTGCATCATTGGGTTCTGACATTGAACCTCTGCCCCGTTGGCTAAAAATCACCAAAGGGGCCCCTGGGCCACTTGGAAGATCCATCCAGGAAAAAAAAAAATATATATATATATATATTGCTTTTTGGGTCACACCCAGCGATGTACAGGGGTTACTCCTGGCTCTACACTCAGGAATTACTCTAGGCGGTGCTCAGGGAACCATATGGGATGCTGGGAATCGAACCCAGGTCGTCCGTGTGCAAGGCAAACGCCCTACCCGCTGTGCTCCAAAAGCCAGGGGGGGAAATGTAAGTAAAAAGTCTTTTAAAGGTCTGAGGATATGGCTCCATGGTAGAGCACTTGCCTTTTATATATGAGGCCCTGGGTTCAGTCCCAGGCACAGCCAAAATTGAAATAAAATCATAAGAACCAGAAAGATAGTACAGTTGGAAAGATGTTTGACTTGCAGGCAGCTGACGCAGGTTCCATCCCCAGCACCGTATCTGACCCCCCAAACCCTGCCAGTAGTGACCTCTGAGCACAGAAGTAGGAGGAAGCGCTGAGCACCATCTGGTGTGACCCCCCCCAAACAAAGAAACAAGTAAATAAGACCAATCTGATAATGCTGATATTAATTATGCAGCTTCTGTTCTATGCACAAGACAAGTAGGAGTAGGGCCAGATGTGATTACTAGCCTGCGTGACCAAAACCTCCTTCCTGGCGGCGCCGGAGAGATAGTACAGCAGGTAGGGCACTTGCCCTGCACGTTACCAACCCAACTTTGATCCCCAGCACTCCATATGGTTCCCCAAGTCCTGTCAGGAGTGATCCCTGAACACAGAGCTAAGAGTAAGCCCTGAGCACCAATGGGTGAAGTCTCCCAAAACAAACAAATACTAGTTCCTCTGCATCTCACCAACTCAGACATTTTCCCCAGCCAGGAAAAGCCTAAGATCCTCATCTGGTCACTGGCTGTTAAGATAGTACCGTCTGGGGACTGGAGCAATAGCACAGCAGGTAGGGCGTTTGCTTTGTACACGGCAGACCTGAGTTCGATTCCCCGCATCCCATTTGGTCCCCGAGCACCGCCAGGAGTAATCCCTGAGTGCAGAGCCAGGAGTAACCCCTGTGCATCACCAGGTGTGACCCAAAAAGCACTGTAGCACTGTCCTCCCGTTGCTCATTGATTTGCTCCAGCGGGCACCGGTAACGTCTCCATTGTGAGACTTGTTACTGTGTTTGGCATTTCGAATACACCACGGGGAGCTTGCCAGGCTCTGCCGTGCAGGTGGGATACTCTTCGTAGCTTGCCAGGCCCTCTGAGAGGACCCAAAAAGAAAAAAATTAATTAAAAATAAAAAGATAGTACCACCTCTCCTGTACTCTGACTGAGGGCTGAGTAGCAGACCCCGGAGCGGGGTACCAGGAGGGAACGAGCACTGAGCAGGCCTCTCTCACTTGGCAGGTGGGCCAGCTGCAGCTCTCACACAACCTGAGCTTGGTGATCATCATGCCCCAGCACCTGAACCAACACTTGGAATCGGTGGAGAAGGCGCTCAGCCCCACGGTCTTCAAGGCCGTCATGAAGAAGCTGGAGATGACCAAGTTCCAGCCCACCTACCTGACGATGCCCCGCATCAAAGTGAAGAGCAGCCAGAACATGCTGACCATCATGGAGAAACTAGGTGAGCCCCACAGCTTGGCAAGGAGAGAGGCGTGGGGGGTGGGGGGAGCATTGTCACCCTCCTGCGGTGCCCCTGTTCCCGCCTGGTGCGTTCGGGACCCAAGAGCCGTTCCCCCGCTTGATGGACAGAAGAATGTGCCAAGGATCTGATGGCCAGGCACACGATGCTGATGCTGACGACTCTGTTGAAATCAACCCATGCTGATAGTTTAGGGGAAGAGCAGCTGCGCTCCATGCAGGGTCGGGGGATGGGGATAGAATAGGAAACTGTGGGGGCTGGAACAATAGCACAGCGAGTAGGGCGTTTGCCTTGCACGTGGCCGACCCAGGTTCGATTCCCAGCATCTCATAGGGTCCCCTGAGCATGACCAGGAGTGATTCCTGAGTGCATGAGGCAGGAGTGACCCCTGTGCATCACCAGGTGTGACCCAAAAAAAGAAAATAAGAACAGGAAAGCATGCAAGAAATGCTTAACGGACAAGGGGAAGTAGTCAGGTAGTCAGGCACAGAAGAGAAATTAAATGCAAGCACTGGGAGTTGGGGGTGCCCCGGGGAATTGGGCGCGTCCGGGTGCACTGTGGTGGGTGTAACAATGGTTGCAAGGGTCCTGGGCAACTCCGTTAACCTAAGCTCTCTGTCAGGGAGAAAGGACAGCGCAAAGCCAAGCCTCAGCTGCTCGTAATATGAAGGGACATAGAGCAATTCAGCAAACTCTCTGAGCTGAACTACAGTATTACAGATGATGGGGAGACGGCACCCCTTTTGGCCTCAATCTCTGGAGCAGGGTCCCTGATGCCCTCTCGTCTCAAGGAGACTCCCCAGAGGATTCCTTAGCAGGATGGCACCGGCCAGGCGGTTCAGGAGCACTGCCAGGAGGGCATCCCAGCAGAGCACTGACAGAGTAGCACTTGGCTTTGGTTTGGGGCCACTCCAGCAGTGCTCAGCAGGGCTTACTCCTGGCTCTTTGCTCAGAGATCACTCCTGGCTGTGCTCGGGGGACACGCAGTGCCAGGGATTAAACTCAGGTCAGCCTCTCTTTCACAGTTGTACTGTCTCTCTGACTCCGTTTTTTTTTTTTTTTTGAGGGGGGGTGGGAGGGGGCTTGTTTTTGTTGTTTTGGGGGCCACACCTGGTGGTCTTCAGAGGTCACTCCTGGCTTTGCACTCAGGAATTACTCCTGGCAGTGCTCGGGGGACCATATGGGATGCTGGGAATTGAACCTGGGTTGGCAGCATGTAAGGCAAATGCCCTCCCCGCTGTGCCCTTCCTTGAGCTCTTTTGTTACGAATAAGCAAATCTCTTCTCCCAGCTATTTGTTTTTTTTTTTTTTTTGGTTTTTTGGGCCACACCTGGCAGTGCTCAGGGGTTACTCCTGGCTCTCACTCAGGAATCACTCCTGGCAGGCTCAGGGGACCATACAGGGTGCCAAGGACGGAACCCCGTTGGTCCCATGCAAGGCAAGTGCCCTCCCCGCTGTACGATTGCTCTGGTCCCTCTCAGCTATTTTTGATGTGGTTGGTTATGGCGTGGACCCCGGGACAGTGATGATGCACTCTGGGTGGTCTTCCCAGGGAAGCTCCGTGTCCTCAGCCTTCCCGGGGTTGCAGGTTGCTATGTGGCTGAGAGGGCCTGGAGCTGCTGCATTTAGGAGAGACCAGAGACCATTTCCTAACCTTGAGCCTCACTTTTTGATCTTTGTGCCCAGGGCGATGATGTGTCCCATCATTTTCAGTCCTGGAACTCAACGTCCTTGGGCCTGAGAGCTAGTACAGGGGTTCGGGCACTTGCCTTACAATGCAGACTACCCTGGTTCGACGCCCCCTGCTCTGCCTATGATGCCCCAGCATCACCAGGGGTCGCTCCTGAGCACTGTGCTGGGAGTAGCCTCTGAGCACTGTTCTCTGTGGTCTCCAAATTTAAACTCCCCCTGTCCCCACCAGAAAATAAAAGAATGCAACTTTCTCATCAGAGATCTTGTCCCCTTGTAGTGATGTCACCCCAGGTGACTTCATATGGTCATTTGGTGGCCTGTGACCTCTCTGATCTCTTTTCTCCCTTTCAGGGTCCTTACTGGCTAGGAGATTCTAATGTAATTTTTTTGTTTGTGTTTGCTTTTTGGGTCACACCCAGCAATGCTCAGTGGTTACTCCTGGCTCTGCACTCAAGAATTACTCCTAGTGGTGCTTGGGGGACCATATGGAATGCCAGGGATTGAACTCGGGTCAGCCGTGTGCAAGGCAAATGCCCTACCCACTGTACTATTGCTCCAGCCCCACTAATGCCATTTTTCAGATTGGGGGAGTGGAGGCCGGGTGTCACCTCTTCAGAGTAAGGGGGGTGGGGACGGAATAATAATACAGCAGATAGGGCATTTGCCTTGCACATGGACGACCTCGGTTCGATCCCCAGCATCCCATATAATCCCCTGAGCACCGCCAGGAGTAATTCCAAGTGCAGAGCCAGGAGTAACTCCTGAGCATCGCCGAATGTGACCCAAAATAAAGTCAAAAAGAGAGGGTGGGGCATTTGTGAAGGTGGGTCCACTCTCTGCCTGGACCAGCAGGTGCAAGGTGCGGGGAGGGGGGGGGGAGGCGGAGTGATAGCACAGCAGGTAAGGTGCTTGCTTGCACTCAGCTGACCTGGGTTCGATCCCCAACATCCCATATGATCCCCAGAGCACCACCAGGAGTAATTCCCGAGTACTGAGCCAGGAGTAACCTCTGAGCATCGCCAAATTGTGGCTCAAACACGGGGGTAGGGTGGGGGAGGGGCGGAGAAGCCCCAGCCCAAGGTCTCATTTGACAAGTGGGAAGGAGCATCTCAGGACTTTTAGGGCGGGTGTGGAGCATCTGTCTGGGCGCGTCGAGCCTGTTCCTTGACTCCTGGCTCCCCTCTGCTTGTGCCCTAGAGTTCTTTGACTTTGCTTACGACCTCAACCTGTGCGGGCTGACGGACGACCCGGACCTGCATGTGTCGGCCATGGAGCACCAGGTGGTGCTGGAGCTGACGGAGTCGGGGGTGCAGGCAGCCGCCGCCACGGCTCTGTCCGTGGCCCGCAACCTGCTGCTCTTCGAGGTCCAGCAGCCCTTCCTGTACCTGCTCTGGGACCAGCAGCATCGGTTCCCCGTCTTCATGGGCCGTGTGCATGACCCCAGGGCCTGAGCCCCATCTCCCCCACCACCGAGGCTGGCTGGGCCCAGCCCGCCCACTCGGGGCCACAGTGCTGGTACCTGCCTGGGCTGGCCCCCAGCCCCCTTCCGCCCCGCCCGTCCTGGTTGTCCACTTGCAGGACAGATATCCCGTGGGGACTGGTCAGCTGCTGTGGTCCCCTTGCTGTGACTTTTCTACACCATTGTATGCGGGGGTCTCTGACTCGGCTTCATGAGGCTTTGCAAATAAAACTTGGCAGACCAGAGCTTCCTTTCCTCATTTCTGTTTTCAGCATCGGGTCTCAGCCAGCTATGGCTGGGCCAAACCTGAGTGGGTTGGCTGGTACCGGGGAGGCCTGGCTGATCCTCCCTGGGTTTGCTCCGGCATCAGAGTCAGTGGGCTGGTTGAAGGACACCTGGAATCCAATGGCCCCCTCTCCGACTCTGTCTCTCCTCCGAAGTCTCTGGCCTCTTTCCAGCATACTGCCACCCTGCTATGGAGAGTTCCAGAAAAAGAGTCAGAAAGCTATGGGCCTGGGGCTGAAGCAATAGTACAGCGGGGAGGACATTTGCCTTGTACATGGGCGACCCGGGTTTGATTCCCAGCATCCCATATGTTTCCCCAAGCACTGCTAGGAGTAACCCCTGAGCATCACCAGGTATGACCCAAAAAGTACCTCCTCCCCCCCCAAAAAAAAAACAAACAAAGTCCTTTTAGGCTCCTGAGAAGAGATCACATCCCTACCTACAACTTGAACCTTACTGACTTTTTTTCTCCTCCGTAACCCCCTTTTTTGATGGTGTTGCAGTCACAGGAATGGGGGTGAACATGTATGTGGTTGCAGCACCCACATGCATGTCTAATGGGGCCCCATGATGCTTTGGCCATGCTGCTCACACACACTTGGCTGCAGAGTGCCTCACCCCTCGTGCCAGAATCCCAAACAGCTGCATCATTGGGATCATACTCGGGCATGTGGGACCTGGTCTGTGAGCAAACTCGAGGTCACATGCTGGGCAACCACTCTGCCATGGAGCCCATTCCCATGCCCCCATGTCAATTTAGTTTTTTTGGGGGGGAGCATTGTTTTGTTTTGGAGGGCACACCCAGAAGTACTCGGGCTATTCCTTTCTCAGTGCTCAGGGCTCCCTCCTGGTGGAACTTGGGAGACCATATATGTAGTCAGGGATTCAAACTGGGGTCAGCCGCACTCAAGGCAAGTGCCCTACCCACTGTAACTCTCTGACCCTGGTATGTGTTGCTTTTTTTTGCGTCACATCCAGCGATGCTCAGGGGTTACTCCTGGCTCTGCACTCAGGAATTACTCCTGGTGGTGCTTGGGGGAACCATACGGGATGCCGGGGATTGAATCCGGGTGGGCCGCGTGCAAGGCTAACGCCCTCCCCACTGTACTATCGCTCTGGCTCCTATATGTTGCTTTTTTGGTTTCAGGTGACCCACATTTATTTAGCTCATGAGTCTTGAGTGGATGTGGGTTGGGGAGGGGCAGGAGGGCCTTGGTTGTAACCTTCTGCAGTCAGTCTGGATAGAGTCTGAAGGGTTGGCTCTACTGGGCTCATCTATGCTCCGTCACACACCTGGAGGCGTTGACTGAGATTAATCTGCCAACCATACCTCTCATCTTCCAGGAGACCTATTTAGTCTTAGTCATAGAGAAGTGGCCTGCAAGCACACACATCAAGGGCCTTTTGAGTCTGACTAGGAAGTAATGTGACCTAATATTCACCTCCTCATATTCTCCTCCTATTCACCTCCTATTGGCCAACACAAACCAACAGAGAGAAGAAGGCCTGGCAACTAGCTCAGGTGATAGGGCACATGCCAAATGGGTGCAAGGTGCTGCATATGACCCCCAGCCCCGCGGGCTCCCCACCCAAGCACCACCAGGCCCTGGGGACCCCCCCCACACACACACACAGTCAACATGAGCACCCTCTGCTGGATGGTGTCCTGCCCAGCCCTGCTGGTGTTGACACAGCAGCTGCAGCAATGCAGAATAAAGCAAAATTCTGCAAAGAGAAAGACCTGCAGAGGCACTCTGTAAAAGATATGGACAAAAAAGATTTTTTTAAAAAAAAGGGGGGGGCTGGAGCGATAGTACAGCGGGGAGGGCATTTGCCTTGTACGCGGCCAATCCGGGTTCGATTCCCAGCATCCCATATGGTCCCCCGAGCACTGCCAGGAGTGATTCCTGAGTGAAGAGCCAGGAGTAACCCCTGAGCATCACCGGGTGTGACCCAAAAAACAAACAAAAAAAGATATGAGCATTAAGAAGGTTGCACCGTTGTGGTCAGTATTCCATTCCACAGGAGCTCTTCTATGCTTGGAAAGAAACTGTCAGTAGGACTGAAGAGATAGTTCAGCATGTTGGCCTGGCCTGGCTTTGCACGCAGCCGACCCAGGTTCAATCCTTGGCATCCCATATGGTCCTCTGAGCAACGCCAGGGCTAACCCCTGAGCATCACCGGGTGTGACCCAAAACCTTTTTTTAAAAAAAGAAACCGCGGGGTTGGAGTGCTAGCACAGTGGGTAGGGTGTTTGCCTTGCACGCGGCCAACCCGGGTTCGATTCCCAGCATCTCATATGGTCCCCTGAGCACTGCCAGGAGTAATTCCTGAGTGCAGAGCCAGGAGTAACCCCTATGCATTGCCGGGTGTGACCCAAAAAAGCCAAAAAAAAAAAAGAGTAAAAAAAGAAACCGGGATCTGAGCGATAGTACGGCTGGTAGTGCACCTGCCTTGCACGTGGCCCATCCAGGTTCGATCCCCAGCATCCCATGTGGTGTCTCTCAGGAGTGTTTCCTGAACGCAGACCCAGAAGCAAGGTTGAGCAACACCGAGTGTGGCCCCAAAATAACCCCCCAAAACATAAAAAATAAAACAAAAACCAAAAATGAGCCATACTTAGTTCTAATTTAAAAAAAAAAGGAAAAAAAAGAAACCATCAGCAACTTTCTCCAGCAACTTTTGTTCTGAGAGTTCCCTAAAAGAATCAAGTAGGGGCTGGAGCAACAGTACAGCGGGTAGGGCGCTTGCCTTGCACGCAGCCGACCTGGGTTCAATTCCCAGCATCCCATATGGTTCCCCGAGCACTGCTGGGAATAATTCCTGAGTGCAAAGCCAGGAGTAACCCCTGTGCATCGCCGGGTGTCGATATGCCAGACACAGTAACAACAAAGTCTCCAGTGGAGACGTTACTGGGCCCGCTCGAGCGGGTGTGACCCCAAAAAAGCAAAAATAAATCAATAAATAAATAATTCAAAAAGAAAACTTAAAAGAATCAAGTAAATTTAAAGCCAGAAAGATATGATAGGGCTTAAGGCCCTTGCTTTGCAGGTGACCCTAATTTGATTCCTGCCACCATAAAACAAACGATTCTGATAGGGCCCCTGGGTGCTAACAGGTGTGACTCCTGAGTACCTTCAGGTGTGGTCCAAACTCTCCACCCTGCCTCAAATTAAAAATAAATAATTAAAGGGATGTTTGTCTACAGCATTATAATATCAGAAATGATTCATTGCATAAAGTTTCAAGTTGCCTGCATCTCAGGGATACACCCACATCTCCCTGCAGTTCTGCTCGGGAGGGGGGGGGGGGCTAGACAAACTTCCAGGGTTCTGCTTCTCATCCTCAGCCACACCTGGGAGTTGGGAGGTCGAACCCTGGAGCGAGTTTAAGGTTCCCGCTGCAGTTCGTCATTACTGCCACACGGTGTCACTGTTGAAATTTTGTCCAGCATAGCCTTTCGGACTCGTAATTTCCGGTGCCGTTCTCGCGTCTAAGGCAACAAAGACGGATTTAAACTTTCCCAAAGTGCGTGGTCTACACTTGTTCGACCACTTTTCCCCCAAAGATGAGTACTTTCAGGTTCTTCCTGGATTCTTGGCTGCTTTGGTTCTGAGTCACATGGAGTCTCAAACCTTCAGCACCAGCCTGGTAGCCAGAAGGCAGCAAAGACCACCCAGTGAACTGAGGGCAGCAAAGACCACCCAGCGCGCATTGAACATTCAGGCAGTCAGGTACCCTACTAGGAATTTTTTGTTTGATTTGTTTTATTTTTTCTACCCCAGCTCCAGCCCCCTCCTAATTTTTTTTTTCCTGCTAGAATTTTTTTCTTTTTTCTTTTTTCTTTTTCTTTTTTTTTTTTTTTTTTGCTTTTTGGGTCACACACACCCGGCTATGTACAGGGATTAGTTACTCCTGGCTCTGCACTCAGGAATTACTCCTGCTGGTGCTCAGGGGACCATATGAGATGCTGGGAATCGAACCCGGGATGGCCGTGTGCAAGGCAAACACCCTTCCTGCTGTGCTATTTATTGCTCCAGCCCCACTGCTAGGAATTTTTTAGTGGATGGTGTAATTTTGTTTAAGAACTAGAGGGATAGCACAGTGGGTAGGGTGTTTGCCTTGCACGCAGTCAACCCGGGTTCGATTCCCAGCATCCCATATGGTCCCTTGAGCAGCGCCAGGAGTAATTCCTGAGTGCAGAGGCAGGAGTAACCCCTGTGCATAGCCGGGTGTGACCCAAAAAGAGAAAAAAAAAGACATCTTATGAAGAGATGTGGGGGCCACAGAGATAGTGTAGTGGGTAGTGTGATTGCCTTACACACAGCTGATACTGGTTCAATCCCCAGCACCACATATAGTCCCCAGAACCTCTTCAGGAAAGATCTTTGAGCACAGAGCCAGGAATAAGTATTGAGCACTGCCAGGTGGGCACCAAAAAACAAAAAAAAAAGGAAATTTTACTGAAGACCTGGACTAATTCAGGATTTACATGATTTGACTGTTTTCCTGAAGAATAGTTGTAAAGGTAGGGAGAGGAATTTTGGACCACAGGTGTCCATGTTTGTCTTTGTGCTAGTTTTTATGCACGACACACTAAAATTCTGATGTTTCAGAGAGGAGACACTGGTAAATTAAGTGTTTGGCATAATATGCCAGTGGAACTATTTCATCGTGTTTTGATCACATCTAGCTTCCATTACAAAGTTATTGATTTTGGAAAGCGTTTTTTGGCACCAATGCTACAGCTTAATGAACTCTGAGACACTGTCATTCTAAGATATAGAAAATGTTGTTATTTTATTTATTATTATTATTATTATTTGGGGGGGGTGCTGGAGTGATAGCACAGCGGGTAGGGCATTTGCCTTGCACACAGCCAACATGGCCGACCCGAGTTCGATTCCTCCGCCCCTCTCGGAGAGCCCGGCAAGCTACCGAGAGTATCTCGCCCGCACGG